ACCTTCCTACACCACTGACAAGGTCGTCCTGGATCTGACAATGGTTCTGTACGAAAATTTGAGAAGGGAGAAATATTTTTTAGAAATGTTTAGTAGGTGGCTTAGTCAGTATTTTGGACTTGGGAGGAGACTCACCACGTGGTAGGTTATTCCGCTATGACGTCATTAAAGATGGCCACCGACGTTATATCAATTTTATCCTACCTACTATAGTTTTCTGTCAATTTCTATGAAATAAAGGTCAGAATGAGGCTGTCTATGTGAACTAAAGTAAAAAATATCTTTATTATTTAAATTTTTTATGAATTTTTCACGAAAAGATATACCCAATCAATTTTTAACTGACATCACACAAAAGCTCTAAAATATATATAAAAAATAACACTTCAAAATTAATTACAATGGTATAACAATAAAAAATTCGTTGATAACACTAAAAAAGGAGTTAAAAGTCCCACCAGAGTCTTTGACACTCATGCATTTACAAAATGAACAGCCGTGTAACTCAATGGCTCTGCAAATACAGAACGACTTTGTACATTTTACACAGCTGCAAGCACCAATAAAGTCATCGGGATAGGCTACTTTTGTACATTGAATTGTGGAAATCAGGCTGAAAAATCCAGAGGAACAATGTGTTCGAGACCAGCGCTTTAATCATTGAGTCCTCATGACATAATTTTAAAAACCTCTGGACCTATGCACCAGTAGACCTACTAATAACGTGTTTTATAAAGGGGCCTATTATTAAAGATACATTATGGGGGATTAGATAAAGAGCTGGTAGTTCTCACTATAATAGTTAAAAACTAGATAATGTAAAGGGAATTTGCTGAAAATTTCAGTCAAATTGATCCACTCTGAACCCAGAATTTAGCGATTAAATTTTGGGCCTAGCCTCGATCATCATTACTAAAGTCGGTACGATAAAATACATAGTCCCGATTATCCATTTCTTGATTTAATCACGAATGAGCGCAGAGCAGCAGATCGGATCCTAATCCAGTAAATATCACAGAGTTGATTGGTCTGGATAAGTAATTAACGTCTAATTAATAAATTAGATAGCATTTCAGGCCCAAAGAAAGACCTGCAATAGGCAGATTTAGCTATTGCATAATGTATGATTAAGAACGTAGTAATAAAACAGGCGGTTGCCATGCAAGATACGCCCACATTTTGCAAGAGATGGACAGAGAACAAGCTCAAAAAAAGAAGTGATTTTTTTGTACAATCAAGGGCCATAATTCAGGAAGTTATGATCCAATATGTGCGAATATCGAAAGGAACCAAGATCTTTCGGTTGTAAATATGTATTTCAAGTTTCATCAAAATCGGATCAAAATTGTGACCTCTATAGGGTCCACAACCTTGATATACCATATTCTTACGCTATTTGAGAACGAACGGCAGCCATTTTGTCTGTCAATTTAGGGCCGATTTTCACAAAATTCGAACTCAGTCGACCCTAGGGTGTAACGGTGATATAATAATACGTTTTTTTATATCGGATAAAAATTATGACCTCTATAGGGTCCACAAGCTAAAAACGCGATTTTTAGAACAATCAGGGGCCATAATTCAGGAAGTTACGGGCCGATATGCGCGAATATCGAAAGGATCCACGATCTTTGGGTTATAAACTTACATTTCAAGTTTCAACAAAATCGGATAAAAATTGTGACCTCTATAGGGTCCACAACCTTGATATACCATATTTTCACGCTATTTGAGAACGAACGGCGGCCATTTTGTCTGTCAATTTTGGGCCGATTTTCACGAAATTCGAACTCAGTCGTCCTTAGGGTGTAACGGAGATATAATAATACGGGTTTTTAAATCGGATAAAAATTATGACTTCTACAGGGTACACAAGCTAAAAACGCGATTTTTCGTACAATCAGGGGCCATAATTCAGGAAGTTACAGTCCGATGTGCGCGAATATCGAAAGGAACCGAGATCTTTGGGTTATAAACTTACATTTCAAGTTTCAACAAAATCGGATAAAAATTGGGACCTCTATAGGGTCCACAACCTTGATATACCATATTTTTACGCTGTTTGAGAACGAACGGCGGCCATTTTGTCTGTCAATTTTGGGCATAATACGTCCACATGAAAATATGGGCGTATAAAAATTATGAAAACAATCAAGGAGATTTTTAAATCTCAATATGCATATGATATTACAACCTCATATATTATCGATTGACGGCCGCATCCATCAATCATCGGTAAGGGAGTGGTTATCAGTTTAATCTGCTGGGATTTTGAAAGGAAACGAAATAACACGTTTTGAACACAAGGTATTTGCTAAAAATTTATGAGTTTTAATATTGATGTGTAACTTTTGAAATTTTTTTAGGGCCCCTTAAATACGCTACAGGTCCAACTCTTGCTTAGTCCTGCTCTGTTTTTACAGTCATGCGTTCGAGCGAATGTTTTGGCAAGGAAATCAGCGAATGCTAAATTGTAGGCCGGTTGGGGAGTCTGCTTTATATAGATGGGTATTTTGGAGAATACTCACCCTACCCCTAACCGCAAGCCTTTAAGAGAGGTAAAAGGTAAATTGGATCCAAGTTCAGTATTCCCCAAAATATTCATTTATATACAGTGGCCATTGTCTGGAAATTCTCGAATCTCCCCAACCGGCCCTCAATTAACATCTCACAAGAAAAACACCCACAGTAACTTCGGTGTAAATGAATACCCATCACCACTTTCGAACACGGTGACACACGTAAAACGTATGACCTAAACAGAATGCCGCAGTTCATCAAGTTCATTTTGATCATCACATTGCAAATTCTTGTCGGACACACTTGTGTCTTGTTTTCTGCCAGATGCAAACTGGTGCTGATAGGAGCTAACTGGAAATTTCCGCTTACGAATACATACTTTTGTTAAAATTCCTATTCCTATAGGAGCTAACTGGAAATTTCCGCTTACGAACAAATGCTTATGTTAAAATTCCTATGTCATAAATAAAAGTCATGTGATTAAAAATTACACTATGATACATTATAATTTCATGTCACACACGAGACAATATTAGCTCAACAGCTAAACTATTGTACATGCATATTTGATCTCATGACACGACGTAAGATGTGAGACAAAATGATAACGTTCCTTTTAAAGCAATACTAACTGTCTTCATATCTTCCCGCAAACTTCGAGCATTTCAAAAAATATATTACGAATTTCTATAGATTGTCAAATTTTGCGAAAATTCTTTGTGTGCCCGTGGTTCAGAGCTAAATATTAAGGCCACCTGCAGATTTCGTCAAGGTCACGAGATGTAAACAGGGTTAGGGTATGTGATTATTGCCGGAATGTGGGTAAGGGATAGGGCTAGGTCTTGTGGTAGGGTTAGGGTTAAGGTTAGCGCTAGCCCTGTTTACATATGACCTTGACGAAATCTGCAGGTGGCCTTAATATTTAGATCTAACGTGCTCATAGTTGGCGGCCTTCTTGATGTGCTTGTGGCAATATGAATGGGTTTTTTTTAGCACAGGAGATCTATTTGGATTACCCAATATAAAATGAAATGAAATGGGGTTGAACGCCCTACTGTTCTGCTCCGACTGGGCTAATGAAGACGGTATACGCCACGCCCGGACAGTGGAACTACGGCCTATTCTTATATCGGTTTTCGTCCCATCCGAACGCCTAGACAGCTGTTAGTGGTGCAGGAAGGGGGACCTGACTAGGGGAAAACACGCCGGAAATTCTAGGCCAACGCCGGGAGCGAACCCGCAACCTCCAGACTAGCGAACCAGCGTCTTACTCACTTAGCCACCGTGGCTCCACACCCAATATGTCACACTTTTTCAAAATTTGTAACCGAATCTAGACATAAATAACCCCATGTACATTGTACATACATTCAATTGATACGAAACTATGAAAGTTTTATGGCATAAAAATTCGGATATATTTAATTAATGTAAACATCTGCTGCCTGTCAACGCGTGTAAAATGTTTCGGGGAAGAACAAGTTTCATTACATATGATGTACGATCATGTGTGCTAAATATTAATCGCACAATTAGTTTCGGTGAAATTAATTACCTAATTATCATAAGTGTAATTAAAGTTGTTTTTTTTTTAAATGGAGCAAAGTTAATTAAAGATACATTATGGGAGATAAGATAAAGAGATGGCAGTTCTCGCTATAATAGTAAAAACTAGATAGTATAAAGGTAATTTGCTGAAAATTTCAGTCAAATTGATCCACTATGAGCCGAGAAAGAAGCGGGTGAAATGTTTGCATAGTCTCGGTCATCATTACTAAAATCATTAACATAAACAGCATAGTCTCGATTATCAATTATTTAATTAATTATTTAATTATCAACGGCCGTTAGCGGCATATAGGAATCTAATCCAGCCAACATCGAAGGCTAGCCTTGACATCGAGAGTTTATTATGGTCTGGATAAGTTAATTAATGTCTAATTGATAATTTAGATAACATTTCAGGCCTAAAGAAAGACTTGTAATAAGCAGATTTTGCTCTTGCATAATGCATGTTTAATGAAATGAAATATGGTTTAACGTCCCACTGTTCTGCACCAACTGGCCTAATGAAGACGGGAAAAAATGAGCATTTTTAGCACTTCTGCTTGATTTCATCATCAACTACAATTTATTTACAACCGCAGCATAGATAAAATAACATTTGTATAGATATATCATTACCGAATAAAATCTGACTTCCATATTAAGCGTTTAATGTGCATACCGTTCTCGATTTCATCATTCCCAATCCATAAAATAGTAATATAAATATATACAATCACACGCCTCATTAATCAATACATCCCGTTTTAGGTGTTAATTTAATTTACATCTCAATAAAATATTTGCCGATTTATAAACTAGCTGATGCAAGCCATGTATAGGCGCTGATGCAATCGACTAACAACTACTAGCTATTGGTGAATGGCGTCGGTCGCTACACTTGATTGGTTGATCGTAAGGTCAGGTGGGTTCATAGGTAGAGAATTGTTATAAATATAGTACGAAATAGAGGAAAAACACATTTGACTCTCTGTGTTTAGTAATATATTGATGTACTACCGTTGTATTATTCACGATGAATACCGAAACTTTGAAAGAACTGCTCCTTAATGCAAGCCATTTGCATGTGTTTGGATATGGATCACTGTTGTGGAAAACCGATTTTAAATACGACTCAAAACAAGTTGGTTTTATAAAGAACTACAAACGAAAATTTGATCTTGGAAATACTACACACAGGGGAACGGAGAAAATGGTGAGTGGAGAATAATACGTTTCATTAGTTACAATTTGTTAAATGTACAATGTAAACGTATGAGAAAAAAAAAACTATCAACTTCATAATAAATATCGTCCATATGTTTCCTTGTCAGTGGAGCTGGAGAGCCTGACGAGTGGTAAGGACAATTGTCTAGTCGTTCGGATGGGACAAAAAACGTAGGTCCAAAGTGTGTACTTGCGTGCACGTAAAAAACCCCGTGAGAGTTGGATTTCGAAATAAGATTAGTCCCTAGCGCCACTGTCAAAGCAAAATTACCTTATAGCATATGCATGGCGTATGCCTTCATTAGCCCATTCATTCATTGTCCATATGTTTCAAGCTTGCTTAATAGCACAAATTAATTTAAATATACAATATGATAACATTAGAATAAATTGTTATTGCAGCCTGGACGAGTTGCTCACATTGAAGAAAGTGAAGGGGTAAGTTAGATCTATTATTATTAAAATTATTAGTTATTAATTACTTTATGACATGTACCACGCGGGAAATTGCCTACTTCATAATAACAATTTTAAGTATTTCCTGTTAAACAAACGGGTCTGCAGCAAAACAACATTTCATCATTGTTTGTTGTGAGAGGGATTGCATCAGACACGTGGTTGGTCTATATTTAGTAACATCTAGTGTCAGAATGTTGTTTACCATGTCAGTGAGTTTCTCGTGAACCTGACTTGTATTAAACGTGGAATTATCGTGATAACCGATTTCTGGAAAATCACAGTTATCCGCATTCTCAATACTGGGGTAACAGCCAAAATAAAGTGGGTGAAGGTTACTATACAAAACCCAAGGCACTCGTGGGTTAATAGTTCACTGACTTAACAATATATGTAAAAATAATATTTTGCTCAACTTCATAGTCAAGGTTAAGCTGCCCAAAACCAGGAAACTGGTTTAAATAATAAAAACTTCTACCAAAAATAGAATAAAAAATAATATTTGTCATATTTAGGATTAAAAAATAATTATATTTGGATTATAATTACAAAAATAAAAAAACTTAACAAAAAAAACCCCCAAAAACAAAAAAGCTATAACACATACTTATATGGAAAGAGTTACTAATTTATTTGAGTAAAAAATGTGTAGGACAACTATAACACATATAAATCAGAAACCATGCATGACAACAAGATCAAAGGCAAGGTACATAAAAAGGATTAGTGGACCACTGATGATTATAATTACCATTATTTGGTAAAATTATCTTTAAATAGTTTTTAAAAGTTACAACCTTGAGTTCTGGATGAACAAGCAGGATCATGGATACCCTAGTTGATCGTAGGCGACATAAGCTAGTAGATTTTACTGGTTTACGATAGTTTTGTTGAGTCGTAGGGTGACATATGCCTGGCTTTAAGCTATCAGAAGGGTCATTACCAACACTTCTTACGTGACGTAGACTAACTTAATGTTATATATAAACCATTAAGATACCTAATCAGTGCGGAAATTAGTTAGTCGCCTATAAAACTGAAATTAATTGAACCTGCTTAATTTTTAGTGCAGTTTCATTTAAATGTTATAATACCTTTAATGTCTTGTCTCACCTGGTAAATGATCTTGTGTTTCACGTTTTTCTTTTTTTTATTTACAGGACAAAGCATGGGGAGTTGCCTTCAAAGTTTGTGGAAAAGCAGAAATCATGAAAGCTCTAAACTACTTAAATACAAGGGAATGTGAACTGGGAGGTTACACGACTTTGGTGACAGAATTTCATCCTCGCGAAAACCCGAAGCAAACTTTAACCGTTTTATGTTACACGGCTACAAATGACAACACTCTTTATCTAGGACCGACCAGTTACCTTGATATGGCAAGCCAAGTTGTGTCCGCAAGAGGAAAGGCGGGAAGCAATGTAGAATACGTAACGAAAATTGCGGAATACGTCAAATCATTCATTCCCGAGGACACCGACGAACATCTGTTTTCATTGGATAAAGAAATTAGGTTTTTAATACGTGATAGACAATTATCAAAGCATCGAGTTGGGCAAGATCCTGAGTTACATGCAAGCACGATAATAAACCCGGTTCCTGCTTCGTAGAATACCAGTGAAACTAAGGATGCGCTTGCATCATCAAGATGTTTCATTATATTACAGAGCCCTGCCTTTCCGTCTTCTAGCAAGGTTCACAAATTCTGGGTTGGGCTTTTTTCGCATATATTGATTGCTATCTGAAAGCTTGAAATGACTCGAATGTTTCTGGATGCAAAAAATACGAGGACACCACAGTTTTTTACGCACTAAGAATAGCAAACTTTCTATTTTTCTACATGTAGATGGTGAAAATGGTTGTGACGTTTTGCAGAGCAGTAGAAAGAAAGAAAATAAAAAAAATAAAATCGCTAGGTTACGTCTTCCGTCCTTTTCGTGTAGTATTTATTCGCTTTGCCTTCCTTCAATATCTTATGTTAATAAAGGCAAGATCAAAGTAAATGAACTTTACCATGCTTAACCTTAGTAGTAGGGCACTATGGTTCATTGAATTTACTGTTATACACTAAACAAATGTACAGTTCTCCTTTCATGTTGGCTTTCGCCCCATAAGTGTATAGCGATTAGCCCACATATTATGTATTTATTTATAGGTGTTACCCAGTCACAAACACAACTGCTAATCAAAATATTAAACCCTATTTTGTGATCAACCACACGGGTGATGGGCATTATTAGTCGGTTTATATTGAATTTCTACTTTACATTCCGAATATAATTGTTTGTTACTCAATTTGATTGAAATACAGATGTTATGAAAAGTTCCTTTTCTTTTTTTGTTTTCTAATTACGGTCTTTTTATGTGATGTAATAAAAAGTTACGAAACCTGCGTTAGCAGGCAACAACTGTACACCTATCAGCAGGACATTAAAGAACGGCGTTCAAGGTCAGATGCAATAACGACAAATACAAAGTGATGAGCGAGTCGATATAAAAATAGGAAGCCGAGGTGGCCCAGTGAGCAAGACGCCGGCTTGCTAGCCTGGAGGCCTGGGTTCGCTGCCGGTGTTGGCCGAGAAAGTTCCTCGGGATTTTCCGTGCGTGGTTTCCCCTTGTCAGTGCAGTGGCGGGGCTCAGGGCTCATCTTCGTGATTGGAATTAAAGACCAGATAGTCTTGTCGGTAAAGCTTGTCGGTAGGTTGCGAGCGAGATTGAGAGTTGGGCCTGCTACCCTGATGCTAACCAGCGCACAACCTTGCCATATAAAAATCCATTTTTGATCGGAATGTGGGTAGCAACCTTGGGCAGTCCGCACCTACCTGCCACCTCCCCAGCGGTTCCATTATCTGTCCCACCAGGAGTTCGCGCCCCTGGACTGAAAACAAAACGATTATATTTTAACCCCAATTGGGGTTTTTTTTCGTAAAACCCCTGATTACTGTCCTGGAAAAAGTTGGCTGAAAATGTCTATGTATGACCGAAAAATCCTACTACTACTGGACATGTTTGAGGCGATCTCGCGCATCATTAGCGTACGGTTTTGGACGTATACTGTTTCTCACATTACGACATATTTTTAAAAATAATGTTTACAGTTGCAAATTAGTGACAAACTGCGGTAAATAAAAAAGAAAAATGAATCATTCATCGTAACCTTAAAGATTCTTACATTTCAAAATGAGACAGTGTATATCGTAGAAAGAACCAAACCCAACACAAGGTTACTCTAAAATTGTGATGTTGTATCTTTAAAATCATTATTTTACTATTAAAATGATCGCCACACGAATAGCGTGCCAGAATGCTTTCGAGCGCCATTTGTAATGGTGCGACTCGATGAACGGGACTAAACATATCCCACAGGAGAGTACAACCGGTGTAGCCTGGAATAACTAGACGCCAAAGACTGCCATTCAATTTGGACCCTTCGGGTATTTCGTCGACAATAACGGATTAGAAATTACAGTAAAAACAGAGACGATTGAATGTAAATGTATATACATTCACATTGTCCATTTCTAGTTGCCAAAGAATAGCGATTTATGCGACAGGCCCCATTTGTATACATTTCTAGGCGCCAACGAATAGAGATTTAGTTTCTTTAATCCACTCACTTTCCAACCGATAGATGTGTAGGTAAATTAGGCAACCGGGCCATCAGGGTAATTTTTTCACTTCCTGTCAGTAGTTCCCAATGGCATTGATCGAAAGGGAAATCAACATCCTGTGAAGATTTCTAGAGTTACCTCCCATTAAACAGGTGGTTGTAACAAGTGGTTGTCGTGAGAAGGTATCCACAATATTAGAATATCTAATAAGTCACCTGGACAAGGTAGACAGCAAAATCAAAGACACAATTATTGAAATAACCAACACTAGTCTTTACTTCTGCCGAAACACAGATACAATAAAGCAAAGTTCTATTTAATATATAAATTAAATTATTGAATTATCAGACATGCGGGAGTCGCGGTGGCTAGGTGGGTAAGGCGCTGGCTCGCTAGCCTGGAGGTCTGGTGTTCGATCCCTGCATTGGCCGAGAAAGTTCATCCCGATTTTCCGACGTAGTTTCCCCTTGTCAGTGATGCAGGACGGAGGGCCTGACAAGGACAGCTGTCTAGTCCTTCGGATAAGACGAAAAACCGAGGTCCCGTGTAAACATTGGAATGCACGTAAAAAATCCCTTGGCAGTTGGAATTCGATATAAGAGTAGGCGATAGTGCCGCTGCCCGGGCAAAATTTCCCTCATAGCACACTGTATGGCGTATGCCCGTCTTCATTAGCCCAGTATAGGAGCAGAACAGTAGGACGTTAAACCCCATTTCATTTCATTTCATCAGACATGCATATATCTTAAATTGGTAATAATTCGATACTTTATTGTATTTATAAACCCATGTACTACCGTTAAAAATTAAATATTTGGTCATATTTATTATAAATTAAAAACCTCACAATAAACACCCATTTTATTCCTTATATTAAGTTCTCTGAACTGGTTAGAAAGTCTCAATGAACTCGGCGATAAAATTGTTATTGACAAAATATTGATATCCCAATAAAGCGAACCTTTACCAGTTAATTAAATTATTTAAAAGGTTTACACCTTATCAGAAACCAGGTGCATTTATGTACCATTGTCTATGGCGGGTCGCCCAATGTCCACCTGACAAAATCATAAAAAAATATCACGGTATGGAGGTATGCTCATAAACCTAGATAAGAACAGATCTCGCCATGCCCTTATATATTTACATAAGTTCAAAAGATGTCTCTATTTCGTCAATTTCTTAGGAGGGATATTTCTGAAGACTATCAGGTTACAAACTTATCATCGTCTGTTCGTTCCTATTGTTTTGCTAAATACTTGTTTAGATTCGCGTCAAATAACACCATATCATGGAAAATACTCTTCATAGTTATGTAAATCAACTTCTATAGGTCCACTACACGAGTAAGTGAACCCCTGTCTAACTTTTGTTCCCTTAATCCCGCGTGTCGCCGATGAATTCAACCCATATCTAACACCAATTAAAATCCAACCAACCATAAAGAGAACAAATATATAAATAAGTCAAAAATCCATTTGAATTTTACCAATTCAAGTTTTAAACAAATGTATTAAATCACGTTACAATAAGAGCTAAAAATGTTTGACGCTTAAAGATGTTTTGCCAACACTATTATGTATTATAATATGATAATTTTTCACATATTAATATCGGACAAAATGGTACAAAATACATTTACATACTCATCATATACATGTACGTTTATATTATAGCGAGAGACGATTGTTACGCCCATATAGGAAGGCATGATAATACAAGTGAACATCACAGACAATCATGACCATATATCATCATAGTATGACTGTCAGATGTATTGTTTAGGATGAAATATGGCTGAAAATGTAAAACTGTCAGTATGATACAATCAGGTGTATTAGGTAACCAGATATGAGACATATTGTATTTTAGGCTCATTCTAAGACAGGTAGCAGATTTAAACAATCACCTTTCCTATTATTAAAATCCCCTTGTGCGACGGTGTTCTACCAGGTGCACACTTTAAGCCTTTATTATTCATAATAAGTGTCAACGAATTTGATGACAGTAGCTCATTCATTATAGTTTTTATATCCTCACCAATCGCATCATTAATTTAAGTCTACAATGTCTGATATGTGAATAGTAGCATCTTCAGTGACTTCTTTACACAGTCATTAGATTGACACTTATAGTAGTTTGTTTGTCTGACAAATTTGTACCAGAATCATTGATCAATTATTTTATTGACCGCAGGAACACGGAGGCTATGTTAGGCTCGTTAATATCATCTATTATAGATAATTATCAGAGTAATTGTATATTGATATAGCCATAGGCGGAACAAAAGAATCAGTCACCGAACAAATCACAGTAATTGAAACATTCATTGTTAGACGTATGAAGTAGATGTGGCCCAAACGCCACTCTCATCCCTAAACTATTTTTCTATTATTTACATTGACAATAAGTAATTATACTACACGCGTAATTAAAATTGAAACAAGAATATTGCATTTCTGGACATTTCCTTGGGAGGTCTATAATTCTGCATTATTGTCAGTTAGCCTATGCGGAATACTAAAAGTAAATAAAATACTCGAATCATACTTGAGAGCTGACAAATGAGCGATGGTCAGTTTGAGAATCAATATTTAACACACAATTAAATTCATTTATATGCCACCCGTGACCGTTATTAAATACAGTTTTCAAGTTGAATATTTTTACTATCAACCATAAAAGTTATTTATATTGATTTGAACCCACTGTTGACAAAGCTGCAAATTTTAAGCGATTGCTATATTTGATTAATTAGACTTGTTCATTTATTTTAATTTCTTCTACATCCCTAAAATTATACTCCGCTTTGTTAATTTTTTTTTCATTTGCTATTGTCTTTCAGACGTGGATCCAAGTGATATTTCACTTTAATAAGATGACATTTTCAGGGGACTTATCTTGTAATTAACTGAAACTTATCGCCAGGACCTGGTGGTCAATTTAACACTTATGGTCATCGCTAACCCGGTTTTAACTTTATGATAATGATGTAATGCAAAGGTGAAGGTCGTTTCATTGTCGCTCTGCCATTCAACTACTGGCACACTCATTGACCATATAACACCAACACCAACTATAATAAACATATGCCAAATTTGAGATTTTGTAAGAAACTAGGGCAATTTTAATTATTCTTTAATCCCCAAGGCAGATGCAACCAAATCATGTTTCAGTGGCCCCCACTGACCCCCGAAGTATTCTGTCAAAAGCAGGGGTTAGAGGTGGAGGATTGCACGATACGTGATTTGAAAAAAGGGATGAAACTCACTGGGGGCTTAGATCCCACTTTAAGATTACACAATGAGAAAGGGGTCGAATCTCTGATCTCGTTACATTCTAGAGGTCGAGTCGGCCTCTATGAAGAATTGGGCTATTTTGAAATGGTCTCACTCGAATAAACAATACCCTATTACCACCTGTCCGTATCTCAAGTAGAGCAACAACACGGAGTTTATTGTCAATCAGTTTGTTTTATTCAAACAGAGAATTACTTAAAGTTGGTTAAAGTGAGTTCAACACAAGTTTACATTACAATATCAACAGTTTTCTATAATAAAAGTTGTTTATTTGAATGTACAGGAGAAGTTTTACTAGGGTTCGAATTAATTACCTTATCTGGCATTAAACACTTTCTTATTTTCTCTCGTGTATAGAATCAACTCCACTATTTAGATCGGGATAGTGATGTCATCCGTTTCCGGTTGTATGTAAT